TGCTAAAAAAAGATTTTGTTTTATTTCAAATTTATTGAAGAAATTACATGTCTTGCAAAAAAAAAATGTACGATAGGAAGTCTAATGTCTAGAGAGCTCTTTGGGGAAAAGTTGGGGGGGGGAGGGGATTCGGGTGTCGTTCGCTGGTGTGCAGCTCCTGGTAAGTACAGACCGGGGTGTCTGACGTGTGTGCTAGAAAAACAAAAAGTAGACAGAAGCGCCACAACCTAGCGCAATAACTCAGGTGAAATAGGACAAAGAATATACGATATTGAACTCACATGCGAGAAGGTGAGCACACGCTTCAACATGGGAACACTAAAAGGAACATCAGCTCGATCGCGACCACCTTTAGTGAAGTTCCACTAGCGCTCGTTCAAACATCTGGCCCCCCCAAAAAAAGACTGATCCAGCCTTGGGCCTCTGATGACAGCCCACCTAGCATACCTCCACTCACAAAATAGGACAGCAACTTCATCAAGGGATCAGAACTTTACAACACATTGCTTCTAGAACAGCAACCAGCTCGGCACAACACCCTCGTCATTGAGAACACATTACCACTAACCTAACGGTGAGTTTAAAAGTCGCATTCGTTTGTGTTTATTTGAGAAGTCGCACTATCCTGTTGTCACCATCTTTTCCACCTCGATCCTCTACACCACCGCTCCAGAGGACGAATACGACCACCCCGCCGCTTAACAATACTACAACACCATGAATTCCACATTGTTCCCGTGTTGAAGCGTGTGCTCACCCTCCCACGCGAGTTCAATATCGTATATTCTTTGTCCTATTTCCCCTGAGTTATTGCACTAGGTTGTGGTGCTTCGGTCTCCTTTTTGTTTTCCTCACACCCTCACACACACACACACACACACACACACACACGGCTTGAAAAGCACAGTCTCTCCCCCCGGACATGATGCATCCCTATCATTGCGCCTTGACTAGTGAAGAGACTGTCCAGAAACAAGAACTTTAGCAGTGAACATTTGCCGTCTTATTTCTTGTATTACAGAGACATGAAATGATGAGAAATTTTATAACCCGGTTCCCTCTCTATCCAATACTGGAGTTGGGGTTTAAACACAAATTACATACAGGTCTCTGAAAAACCACAATTGTAGATTAGGAAATAGAAACAGGACAGACATGACAGCAGAACACATTGTGAATCATACAAAGGGCTTCTTACTTGTTGATATGTTGGAGTCAAACACTGTTCCGTCCTCCAAGGACCCAGTGTACCAACAATGCACCTTGTCACCTTTCTTTGGAAAGGTGACTCTATCTCCCTTCTTCAGGATGGACTTGGTGTATTTTGGGGGACCCTAATAAATAAAAACAAACAAAATTATACATTAAACTCTAAGAACTATTTGGATAGAGTATATCTGTAAAAAATAAGTCAAGGCAACTGGACTTGCTGTATTGTTCTTGAAGATGTTTCACTGGACATCCAACCAGCTTTCTCAATTCAGAATTGAGAAAGCTGGTCGGATGAGCAGTGAAACGTCTTCAAGAAAAATACAGCAAGTCCAATGCCTTGATTTACTTTTTACAGATATACCATGACCTGGATGAAGAAGGAGAACCTTCACAGACGTTTCTGGATAGAGGCCATTAATAGAAAGCTAAACCAATATGTATGCCTGGAAAGACATTTAAAAATGAACAAGCAGATCAAATATATTTAATTTTCTTAAAATATAATGAAACTGTACTATGTGAATTAACATCTACTGCCCACGTATTTTACAAATTCATCACATTTCATTCATCAACTGAATTATCAAATCAGTATGATGAAAGTGCCTGCACTTGCTGATAAGAGAGAAGACAAACAGCAGATGAGAGTAACCTTTGGGTCCCTGTCAACTTCCTCCTGAGGTTAAAAGAGACCCTGTGCGAGCTCCCTGTTGGGGCTTACACAAGGTTGATGAGGTTATCCCCTTGATCATGTGACACTGCCTGAGCCTCGCAACTGGCTGTTAGGTCTGAGAACTGCATTATCATGGTAGGAGGTCACTAGCTCCCTATACCGTGTTGTAGTGATATTTTTGCTGTGGCTTTGGAGGATAAAGGAGGGGTGGTGATGGGGGTAAAGCAATGAAGAGAAGGGATGCACCAATACCGTTTTTTCAGTATCGAGTACCAGTATTTTTTTTCCGGTACTCACCGATACCGAAAGTCCAATTAAGGAAGGCAGGCGGCGTGTAATGACTCGTCACTTGGCTTCATGATTAGCAGGGAAGCTATCTCCTTGCTTCTCGTCACTAGGTGATGAGAAAACATGGAGCAGGCTTTCTGACCAATCAGGAAGCCGGGCGTCGTGTAATGACGCGGCGCCCGGCTTCCTGATTAGTCGTCTCGCCAGCTCTATGCTCGCTCATCAGGAGGTAGCATGAAGCCGGCTTCCCAGCCAATCAGAAAGCCAGGCGCCGCGTCATTACACAGCGCCCAGCTTTCTGTTTGGCCAGGAAGCAGACTCCATGCTATGACGAGGGAGCATGGAGCCGGCTTCCCAGCCAATCAGGAAGCCAGGCAGTGTGTATTGACGCACTGTCCGGCTTCCTGATACCGGAAGTATCGGGCTAGGCATCGGAGCATTTTGGGCAAGTACTCGGCATCGGCACCGATACTAGTATCGGTTCATCCCTGATTGAGAGTATAAGTGGATCTGGGAAAGGGTGTCTCTAACTAAATCTTCAAAGACAAAAAGCTCTGATATAGTCTCATATGGAGAAGCAGGTGGTGCGTAGTCACAGAGACAAAGTTTGACATGAAGTTATCTGTATGCCAAGCACCGGGGCATGCTAAGACATGGCAGCACAGAAAAAGTGAAGATATAGGATATAGCAGTCACCGTTACTGCTTGAAAAAGGCCCCTTTAATCAGAAGCGTAATGTTCGTCTATTGGTAGGTGGATGTTAGCGGACGTGTGCGTCTGTTTATATGCTGTTACCTCGAAGCCAGTCTAGGTCCAAGAGGTAAAAAAAAAACAACCCAGAAGCTTAGTTTCGTTTTTGCGGATCTCAACATGATGGAGGTAAAATGACGTACGTCCGTTGACATCTGCCTGCCCATAGACATGATACAGATCTTTTACACTGTTTTTTTCTCCATTACAAGATGGAGGAAAAAAAAAGCTGAATGGACACGGATGTCTCAACAGTGATCTATGTTCTGTACTGTTCCGATTCAGCAGGGGATCTGTTCATGGACTCCCTGCTGATCAGAATGGATGCTGTCCGTGTGAAAGAAATTCAGATCTAAACAACTTACATCATCGACCACCTCCTCTATCTTGGTTTCGGCAGGATTCTCATCATCGATTTTAAGATCTTTCACTTGCTTTACCACAGTTTCAGTACGGTCAGTTCCCTTGAAACGCTGAAAGAAGATAGCATACACTTTAATCAGATCTGCATACATTTTACAATGATGGACTGTAATATGTGCCATCTGTTCATGACAAACAATGAGGGGAATTGATCAAAACTGGACCAAACAGAATCCGGAGCAGTTGCCCATGGCAACCCATCAGCATCTCTCTTCAGTTTGCCCAGGTAAGATTTGTAAATGGGCTGATTGGCTGCAGTGCAAATATGCTCCAATTTTTGATAAATTCGCCCCCCAAGGTCTCTAAAGACCAAGAGTAGTCAGAACAGAAAATCTGTTGCTACAAGGTTGGAAGAGCACAATGGCCTAAAATATCTGCATTGCAGGGCTCGGACAAATACATTCACTGCTTGCACCAGGGGTGAGGAACTCCTATTGTCCAGACATGCAGTGCCGGCTGCCGCATCAGCTCTGCCCCCTACCCCTTCCCACTGGGAGCCCGCTGCATGCTGAGGTCTGTGTCCTTTTCGATCCCTGCCTGTATCAGCAGCAGGTATGGGAAGGGACACAGACCTCTGCAGCTGGCGCCCAGCGGGGAGGAGAGACCGCTGTCAGTCACTGACTCTGCAGCGCCCCCACCCTCAGACCAACTGCAGGCGGTAAAAAAGACGTCAACAAGTCTCCCATCCAGCGGGCCGGAGCAATAGCCAGCCTGCTATTGGTTATTTTAAATTGCAGTAGCCAATAGCAGGCTGGCTATTGCATGATTCCATTTCCATCAATATATCAAACCTACCTTTGTTTCGAATAGTTTGTTATAGGCGGCGATCAGATTATCCTTCTTGGCGGTTTTTGACACATTTTTGATATTTCCGAGCAACTTGTGTTCTGCCAGGAACTAGAAATCAAAAGAACAAGGATAAGCTGTAATACCTGAGATATAAAACAAACTACAACCAGAAGTGGTGGACATATTAATATGGAATTCAGGAGCCAGTCTGTCCAATCCAGGAGCCAGAACCCCATTGACAATTGGAGAAAACCTCCGAAGTTAGGCACCACCTGTAATTTTAAGGGAACCAGGACGAAATTTGCACAGTGGGTGCCGCTGTCTGGCCGGCATCCCTCTGGTCTAACATGTTTTTGTTATTATTATCGTTTCACAAAAATACATTTATACATGATACATTTAGAGATGTATAACTTCAATGTATCTCTCAGATAACAAATTATTTATTTCTCTAATTAAAAACATCTACTTCATTTCCAACATCAATCACTTAACCATTCACTACCACGCAACTTCAACCACCCCCATCTCTTCTCTCATTCAATCTTCCATTCTTATCTTCCTCTGGAGAAGGAAAAGTCTAAATCTACATTTAAGTGTATCTCTAGTGATTAATTTACCAAATATAACCTTTAGGCCCCATTCACACACAAATCGGCCGGCACGTACAGCTCCGCGCGGGGCCGTACCAAGTAGCTGCCGGGAAGGACAGGTGCTGCGTGTGATTAGAACGCAGCCCCCGTCCTTCTCAATGGGACTACGTGGCCGGACGCCCCCCTACGCTCACCTCATTTGCAGGTCTGTAGGGGTGCAGGTTTTCTGGTCGGGACGCATACATGTTCCATTCCGGCGGCGTATGGATACGATCACCCGCACCCCTACGGACCTGCAAATTAGGTGAGCGTAGCCCCATAGAGAAGGACGGGGGCTGCGTTCTAATCACACGCAGCACCTGTCCTTCCCGGCAGCTACTTGGTACGGCCCCGCATGCAGCTGTACGTGCAGGCCGATTCGTGTGTGAATGAGGCCTTAATCCCTTTCTCCCCGTCCTCTTCCTTTATTTATATCTTCACTCGATTCTTAATTAATGTGCGCTCCTCAAGTCTACAATATTATGATGTCTAATGCTGGGCACACACCTTACAACCAAGTCTTTTGTCTTGCGATAGTTGTAAGGTACTTAAAAAAAACGTACGATCTGCCTATCTTGGACAGGCAGATCGTACTTGCGATGATCGCAAGCCATGCCCCCCTGAGGGGCGGGCTTCCGATGACCGCAATGCCGAATGGGCAGTGTGCGCTTGTGCACACCGGCCCGTCCGGCTTTTATCGTACGAACATGCTACACACCCGCCGAACATCGTACGATGCTCGGCGGGTTTTCGAACATGTTCGTAAGTTAAAAGTCGTGCGACCTTACAGTAGTAGAGGTCGCACGGCTTCCACACACCTTACGATAAAATCGTACGATTATCGCAAGGTGTGTGGGGACCTTAAGACAATATACCCCACCCTTATTTATTATTTACCTTAAACCTTAACCCCTCCCTCTAGTGCTTGTGTTCCCACTCTTTCTGTGTATCTATAATCTAAAAAAGAAAAATTCTTTATATCTTCCTTACAAACACTATATGTACTATACGGCCAGGGGTTGACCGATGTCAGAGGATTGCCTGCTGTTTACAGTCATCTGCTTGTGCCACTT